TAATGTACGGGACTGTATAGCGTACACTAAACTATATTATAACCGGTTGTCTTGATGGTTTGGAAATAAAACTACCAGTACGTTGCCGCTAACGAATATGTCGCTATGCCACGACATCCGATTGCCACGCTACTGCTACGCGCCTTTATCGTGCGCACAAAGTATGGAAACGAAAAGTCTAAACGGCCGCGTAACTATCTTTCAATACAATGCGAAGTACTTGCGACGCGAACCGTGAGAGGAGCGGCGTCTATGGGCAAAGTACTCGCGATGCGCGCCGTGTCGATGTTAGAAGCGAACTAGTTTGACCCGCTCCCAGAGCTCTCTTTTATGGTAACATCATTTCAGTCACAAGAGAGAAATGGGATGCAGGTATTGAGTGCGGAATGGGCCGTAGCGGGGCGTCGGGTTCGTGGAAAGCAAACACTTTATTATTTTAAAGAACTTACTTAAACTAATGGCATGGCAATCTCTCACATTTGTTAACGCTTAAAACAATACGTCTGTAACCAATAAACTATCCCTTTACAAAGTGGATACAATACAAGTGGCCTTTCTAGTATTACAATTTATGACCCAAAGTTTTGTTAACGTTTTTATACACACAAAGGACGCCATGCACATGTTCTTATACATCTAACATATTTTACCTAAAGTCAAAGAATATTTATTTATTTATTTATATGCTAGTTCTCAATAATATTACTATGCTTTAAACCTAACGCGAGCTGTCCGGAACAATAACAAAATAGTTTTTCCGACGGATGCAATAAAAATCAGCAGGAAATTACTGCGTACTATCGAAGACGATTGTTATCCTTGAGGCAAAGCTTAATGTTTTTACATAGCGTTTAGTTTTTATACAAAACATGTTTAAGACAGTATTTTTTAACATTACCGAAGCCAAAGAATATGAAATAAAGAACAGAAGAATTGTCTTAGGATCACGATCATTAGTCTACCTTCAGTATTTGCAAAATTACTAGGAACGCGTTTAACCTTTTAAAAATATATAGCAGAACCTATATGTATGTTAGATTAATATTATGTTACCTGTAAAACAATAGAAGTAGTTTCAAACCAAATTTTTGTATTTTAATTAAAGCAATCATATAAGAAAATGTTCTTCCAAACGACCCTAAAATATAACAAAAGTATATATCTATTATATAAATGTTTGTAATAGCGATTGTTTGTAGTTTTCAGGTGGTCTGCTTAAAAGCAAAATTGCAGGTTAGTCTTGAAAGCTTTTCAATTTTTTTTTAATAGAGCCAGTTATATTATGTACTACGCAGTGTTACTTTCTCCTATCTATACTAATATATAAAACTGAAGTTTGTTTTGTTTGGACGCTCTGGAAGACGACAGACGACGTTTACAGCTTAAATTTAAAAATCTAGAGAAGAATTTTGATAATACGAATTTTGATGTCTAAAATAACTATACAATGCGGACGAAGCCGATGACACAGCCAGTTGTGTGTAAACAACAATCTAACGAAATCTTACTCTTCAAGCGAACGATATTTCCCATTTGGGCCCAGTATTTCGAATCTATGGAAATCCTCATATTTTCATACAAAATTCAGTACCGCGGGGACCATGTTATTATCATTACGCCAGCATCGACTCTGAAGGGTTCACTGAAAAGCGATTGTACCGTGAGGCAACGTTTTCAACTTCTCAGGAAAATGAATACTTTAAACCGTATCAAACACGAAAAATATTAACAATTTTTACCATGGAGTGACATACTTGTATATAATAAGGTATTTTTATATAATATGCTAGCAAACCAGGCCACGCGTTGCTGTGGCTGAAGCTAATATGACGTTTGTCGGTTTACCATAACAGTGCCATCTATTGATTACTTACTCAATCCATTGTAACTGTCAATTATTTATAGACAAATAATTTGCAATAAAATAAAATTGCGACTATAATTAAAGATCTAAACTATCCTATGTCTCAAGTAGGACCAGACTGCTCACGGTGTGCCACTTTAATTTAAAATCGGTTCAGTAGTTTAGGAGTCCATAACGGACAAACATCGTGACAGGAGATTTATATATATATATATATATATATATATATGAGATTTGGCGTTTTCAACCGTTATATCGTTTTATTTAAATGTGTACTACTGGCGTAAACTACCTTAAGTTGATAATCGAATATAGTTCGTATTTTATCGGTTTAAAATGTTTTATTTAATATTCCCACAAATTAACGGAAGAATATTTTACAAATTATATCTTAGCTACAGATACGGTTTATGTGGATTGTAAACGATTTTGCGCATGATGTCATTAAATAGATTAAATCAATTGACAGCAGCTCGGTACGTTGTAAATTCCCGTTCAAATCCCGCTCACAATTGCATTATTTTCTACTCAACACTAAAAAAGACGGTTTTGTTTCTTCGACTAGGCTCCAAAACTAGGCCACTTTAAATAATGTTTTTACTAATCGACGCTACGAGGGACAGCTTCCACTATAGATATTAAATAGCGTTTAAGTTAAAATACAGTTTAGTATCGTTAATTAAAAGGTTTATTTGAATCCACAACATATCGCGATAAAAGGCCTTTTAAAAACAACATAGAAACCGCTGTTGCTTTCTTGTTAATGTGTGAAGCAATCATGTTTGTAGTAGCAGTGCGTCAACTATTCTTGGAAGCCGCCATATATTTTTACGGCCCTAAAAAATCAAAGCACTTTTAGTGTTTGGAGCCCAAACAGCGTGAACAAACATTTTTAACGTCCGGTAACCAAAACAAATGCCAACGCTGTGAAATATATAGGATAGAGTGAATGCATTTGTTCATTGAATGAATGAATATATCAAACTGATCGGGATGCGTCATTTTTGAAGTGGTACTGCCAAAGTCAAATCTGCTACGCCAGCGCCATCTGTTTCCTCTTAATTGATATTTAGAGAAACTAATTGGGTCCTTTTAAATAAAACACTTTAACTAATATATCGCGTTGTAAGCCGTTAAAGTGTTTTATTTAAATGTGTACTACTCGCGTAAACTATAGACAGTATTTAATTGGGTCCTGACAATACTGACTTACTCATATTTAATTCACGTTTAAAACCGTTAAAAGTGTTTTATTTAAAGGTTTACATCAGATCGTAATTTAACATGAATTAAATAATATATTTTATATTTGAAACCGATAACAGTGTTTCATTTAGTGTCCCTCGCCATTAATTTGGCGCTCGCGTAAACTCAACTAGCCAATGGAATCGTGACTTTTCTTCACATCGAAAGAGAATACAATATGTGAATGATACTGAAAATCTAAGATATATCGAAACAGGTGCTAGCCGAAAAGGGTAATGACCTTCTGGATTGTGCTCGCTCAATAACTCGACCCATTTCCCGTGGAATTAGGCTTTTCTCACCATTGTTTTCTATTATGCACACCATAGTTCCTTTTCATATCCTTTCTTTCACTTCGATCCGCCTTTTCTATTACGGCGCAGTATCTATTCACACGAACATTAATTCCGAACTTATAAAAGGTGAATAGAACAGCGACACGGGTTGCTGTAGTTGTGAGTTCGAGTCCTGTTCGGTGTTTTTTCAATTATTTTTGTTTATTTTGCAACATATAAGCAATTTACTTTGTTTGTTTGAACACGCTAATATCAGAAATTACTGGTTCGACGTGAAAAAAAATTTTTGTGATAGGCATTTATCGAGAAAGGCTACTATGGCTATAAAATCACGCTGTCGCTAATAGTAGCGAAGAAACAGCGGGAAATGTGTAAAAACGAGAAAAAAAAATCTTTGTAGGTTTACGATGCTCACGCTGCGAAAACGGTTCAAGATACCCAAAAAATAAGTGAAAAAAATGATTTCTTAATGATCTAAAAACATCTCCGCGACACGATATCTTTTAAGATTAACTTGCAAGAACGACGTGGAGGGACGCGACCGTCGTCGTAAGTAACGTCTTAATTCATATAGATGAGAAGGAGGTTTGCAAAAAGGAATTTGGATGCCCAAAATAACTTCTACGCGGACGTAGTAGCTGACACGGCTAGTATCTCATAAGCATTGGTACTTGTAAAACGGGCTTCTGTAAATGTTTTAATGCTAATAAAAAGCTTTTTTTTATTAAAAGTTATACACTTGATAAATTAGAAAAGGCTGCGGAAATCATTTCCTGTAAAAGCTCTGTAATGGAAGCTTAAAAGGTTAGTCATGTCTAAATCAAATGCACGGAAAAGCGAAGTTGTCACGTAAGCGAAGAATCTAATTATCTTCGTTAAACCCTTTAAAAGTTACTTTGTTTTTATTGCACGCCCGGTTATAATTGCTTGTGACATATCTGGAAAGATAGAAGCATATCTCGTTTCACAGTAGAAACAGTTTTAAAAGTTACAGGATCTGAAACTGGGATATCTCACATTATACTAGCTGAATGACTACTAGCAGTGACTTCGTACGCGTAGACTACATTTTGAGTATCAATTTTTGTTTTTGCAAACCTCGTGTTCAACTCAATAATTTACCTAAGTTGTTACCCACGTCGTCCGCGTCCCGTTGTTTTTACAAGTTAATCTTACAAGATAGACATATACTGTCGCGGACTTTTTTTTAGATCATTTAAAAAGAAGCATTCTTCCATATATATTTTTTGGATATCTTTAACCGCTTTCGCAACGCACGCAACGGAAACCCACAAGGATGATTAATTTTCCCCGATTTTACGACATTTCCCGTTGTTTCTTCGCTATAATCACAGCGATTGTTCAAACAAACAAATTCTTCAGCTTTATATATTAGTATACATTATATCTAGGTATTGTTAGGGCGGAAAAAACGATGTTAAACTCTTAAATATTAATTTATTATCCAAAATTAGGCTTAACCGACAGAATGCGCGCCAACGTTCGTATTTGACAGTTCCTGAGCTAGTGTCGGGACACGCGCGGTAATCGCGTCGCACTAGTGTTGTGTCGTCCCCGCTAAATCGGAGGATTATTCATATCAGTTCGGCCATCCTGTGTAGTCCTTCGCCCTCGAAGGATGAAGTAGCGCTCCTGCTAAACCGCCGCTGCAAGTGCAGCCACGAGACTCGGCTCAGCCACCATCTAGAAATAGCCCCGTAGGCAGTAATAGCCCCGTAGGCAGATAATAGCCCCGTAGGCAGTAATAGCCCCGTAGGCAGGTAATAGCCCCGTAGGCAGTAATAGCCCCGTAGGCAGGTAATAGCCCCGTAGGCAGTAATAGCCCCGTAGGCAGGTAATAGCCCCGTAGGCAGTAATAGCCCCGTAGGCAGTAAATAGCCCCGTAGGCAGTAATAGCCCCGTAGGCAGTAAATAGCCCCGTAGGCAGTAATAGCCCCGTAGGCAGTAATAGCCCCGTAGGCAGTAATAGCCCCGTAGGCAGTAATAGCCCCGTAGGCAGTAATAGCCCCGTAGGCAGTAATAGCCCCGTAGGCAGTAATAGCCCCGTAGGCAGTAATAGCCCCGTAGGCAGTAATAGCCCCGTAGGCAGGTAATAGCCCCGTAGGCAGTAATAGCCCCGTAGGCAGATAATAGCCCCGTAGGCAGTAAATAGCCCCGAAGGCACAACATAGCCCCGTAGGCACAATATAGGCCAGTAGGCACTATGAAAGAGGGGTGACAGCATCTTGCTTTAATTCGTCCTCTGATGAACAACTGTCTTGCGTAGCTTTCAAAACCTTCATTTAGTCACCTTATGACCAACCTTGTCACAATTGTTACACTTGACCACCTTGTTTAAGTTATTATTTTAAGCATTAAATGAACCCCAGGATTTCACTTCAACGCAGTCCGATGATGTTTTCATACAGGCCAGGTACTTTAACAAAGAATTAGTATCATGACAACCAGCCGACAACGCTCCAACTTCTAACAATTTGTCTCCAAGTGTACCCACAATTGCTTGAGCTATCACATCATCACTCATATTACATGACATGCCAATACCCAGCTTATCATAGTAAAATTTTATTGGGTCTTCATCTTTTGTCTTGATACGGTTAACAAGTTCCCTAATCTGTGACAACTTATTCTTGGTGAATGGAAATGCTGTAATTAATTTTATTTTCCACTCATCCCAGCTAATGTCATAGCAAGTTTGGCGTTCATACCAGCTTTTAGCATAGCCACCCAACTTAGAAGTGCAGTTGCAAATCAAAATACGTTCATCCCAGCCATGCATATTAGCAACACCTTCTAAGTTACGGAGCCAATGTTCTACTGAGACAGATGATTTTTGAGGATTAAACTCAGGTATAAAATGATTCCGCCCCACATAACGAACCACTAACTCTACTCTTGGTGTGGTGTCACCATTATTGTAATTTTTCTGTTGTAATTCTTTAATCAACCCTTCTAATGCTTCGATTCTCTTATTCTTCCTTTTAAGTTCTTTTTTTTTGTTGTTTACTTTTAGATTGTCTATCAGAATTACTTGACCCTGACGAAGAAGCACTAGTAGACCTATTTCTCTTCTGGTGCCGACCCATGTTAACAATTAAAATAAAGTCACACACAATGAACTTATACTGCTGTCTTTAACACTAATAATTGTCTTTGAATAAAGTAAACTTCTTTAACAAAAGTAATTAAATTCAGTAAAAGTTCAATTATCCAAATAGTCCTTAAATTTAGTTTAAAATTAGCACTTTAACAACTTAGAATAGTTCACTTTGTTTATTTCTGGGTTGCTGAGCATTTTAACAGATATTAAAGTATGCTCAAATTATCAGTCTACTTATGTAAATACAAAAGTTCATGGAACAATCTCACCAAATAACCAGGAACATTTCAACACGCAACTGATGCATCTTCAAGCACCCTGAAATGCAATCGTCACCATACCAGGATAGTTCACACAAATAAACCAGTTTCTCAACCAGAAAATGTTCACCAAAAACTTCTACAAACTTGTTGTACTGGAGGTCAGTGACCCTTAACGGATTGACAAAATTTGTGCAAAAATCAAGTATTAAGTACCGAACTGCATTAAACTTAGTTACTACAAGCGTTCTTATCACTAATTATGTGTGTCATCACCAAATTATATAATAAAAGCGTCTTTTCGCATCCAAAACCGCCAGTTTTTTTTTTTCACCAAACTTTGCACTTTAAAAGTGAAATTATCGTCCAATTCATCAAAGTTCACTCGTGAGCAAGATCACTTATCGCACTTCTGATATTGTTAGGGCGGAAAAAACGATGTTAAACTCTTAAATATTAATTTATTATCCAAAATTAGGCTTAACCGACAGAATGCGCGCCAACGTTCGTATTTGACAGTTCCTGAGCTAGTGTCGGGACACGCGCGGTAATCGCGTCGCACTAGTGTTGTGTCGTCCCCGCTAAATCGGAGGATTATTCATATCAGTATATAGATAAAATACTATAGATTATTCGACAAATTATTGTACAACTGATTTGATTAATTTCGAAAAACCTACATATATAATAAGCAATTTCTTTTTATTTATTATATCGTTGAGTTTTATTTACAAATTTGAATTGAGGCAGAACTCGAATATACGACCACAGGGAACAGCTGTACCTAATAAAATTATTTTCTTGTGATAACAATTTTATATATAAAATTTTCGCAACCCTTACAAATATGTGTGCCATGTATTTCTTATAAAATCCATTTTTTGAAACTAAAATGAATTCTAAGTGTTTGCAAATAAGATCGTTTGTGCAATAACATTATAGTGTTATAAGTATTCTTTTAGTTTTTGTTGTATAAAACATGCCAAGTCCATTTAATCCGTAAGCTTGGCACATATTGCATTGCGCAAATTGCATCGCGACATTAATTACCCATAATGCCCCCTTAGGGGATCTATTATGGGATTACATGCGCCGACGTGACGCCCACATAAAATTGTGATTACTATAATTTTTAGGTTCTGTCACGCTACACTGGCTAAACTTTACTACCGACCGACGAATTATATACAAATTATATACACTCTGTATAAAATTGGCCGCCATTTACCAAGTATTATGAATTCAAATTGGTAAACGGCGGCCAATTTTATGTGCAATATGCTCATTACAATTAAAACTACTTCCGAAAACCAAGTTTTATTTCCATCAAATATAAAGAATGCGAGAAGAAGCGAGAAGAGAAGCAGCATTTATTTTAATAAATATGATAAGTCGGACGGCACCCCAATATATCCCAAACTAACCAGGATGTTTGAAGCTAAGTTAATAGATGAGTTTAAAAGAGCGATCTTAATTACACACTTTGTAAAGATTAAATATTTTGAAAAGCTTTTCAGCATTTAATATTCTATTTTCAAAAACATAAACCACGATATATCCAAATGCATACATATAATTAAACATAATGATTTAAAAGAGTTGATTATTTTAGGTAGATATCAGCCGTTCCGTATCCATAGCTGGACGTATATTATGTAGCAATATTTAATAATTTACAAATTTAATAGACTTTACAAATGCCTTTCAGCAGCCGATTACAGTGGACACAGACAGTAAAAGTATTTTATGTACATATGTAATGTTATAGATAAGTTATGTCAACTATAAAATCGTATGATGATAACTATCGTTTTATTTAACTGTCAATTAAATTGAAACCTCATAAATGTAATGGAACTAGACGTAATAGAAGTCCCATTTGACCTTATCTTATATCTAGGGTGCATCTCTTAAGAAAATTGCATTTTCCTGAGGTGCGGCGGTTTGACAGAGCCGTGTAAGATTTATAGATTCTCAACAGACCTCAGCTAGATCATCAACATTAATTCTATTCTATGTCTAGAACAATCGATTTATTCACTTACTAAGATTAATTTAGTCTTTATAGTTGAAAGTTCGCGCCTTACGTTGCGCGATTTTGAAGCTGAGTTTATTAAAATTCTTGAAAAAATCGAGGCGCTCGCAAAATATATTTAGGAACAATTTCATATACTATTATATATAACTAACTACAAGACTTTTAAATACGGTATAAAAACATATTTTTAACATTATGGAGACCTTTTTAAATATTTATTTTGAAACAAACATCTATTATATGTGTCGTTTGAGTTCTTTGTAATTATTTCTTTTACAGATATCAAGCTGAAAAACGGCGCAAATATTTCTAGGTATAACCAAAGTTGGTATATAACTCGTAACACGTAAGTCTTCCTCTATGATGCCTTATAATTTTGGTGTTAGTCATGTGTTAACAATTTATTAATTGAATAGTGGATATTATTGTGATATATCACTAATCTCTTTGTATTATAAGTTTAGAAAAGCATTTTTAAAAATTCAAAGTCAATGGTCTGATAGATACAATGTAGCCGTACTATATCTCTGTATAGCTTTGAATATGAAATTGATGTTTTTTTTACCGATTGTTTATACTCTACGCGATGATGAGATGGATATGTCCAAAACTTAAAAAATATTATAATCTTGAAGTTGTGTAACACCTAACATGATACCTTAATCCTATACACCGAAGTATGTAGTAAGAAAACTGAAGTAAGACGAAGAAATATAATCAGACATTTATAAAACCTTGGGTTGAGTGAAGGTAATTGAAGAAGCTTTTTCACAGTCTGCCATGGAAAGAACTTGATATTACTAGAATTTTCCGGATTAAAATTCCTTCTTTGAAACGTAGTTTAATGATTTTAACATACGTATTATAAATTCACATTGTATATCGCATGAGAGCTAATATAAATAAAAACTGTTTGTATTGGGCAAGACTGAGACGTCTAAAAAACATCCTATAAAATCAATTAGTAAATACGACCCAAAATTGACACAATTCTACGAAAAGCTTCCCTACGACCATACATAGGAATTTCACTATTTATTCCTACGTTCGTACATACATCGTTAGACTCAATTGAAGTCATGCTATTCAATATCTATCTCTAATTTATACTAATATACAAAGCTGAAGAGTTTGTTTGTAAGTTTGATCGCGCTAATCTCAGGAACTACGGATTCGAATTGAAAAATACGTTTTGTGTTGGTATGCTAAAGGTTTATCGAGGGAGGCTATGGGCTAATAAACATCGCCCAGTGACTAATATAAGCGAAGATACAGCGAGATATGTGAAGGAAATTGGGAAAAAATATTCTGGGTTTTCGAGAAAAACGGTTCAAGATAAAAATATGTTTGAAAGAATGATTCCTCTTTAAATGGTTTAAAAAAAATACCCTCGGCGCTATATCTATAACGCCGAGGGTAGCAGGTTAAATTTAGACAGAAGGGGTTTGCAAAAACGAATTTTGATGCCCAAAATAACGATTCTCGCTCGAAGTCGCTACAAAGCTATTATAATAATATATAGTTTCTTAAACAAGCTTATTATAAAAAATTGTACTAAAGTTCAAGTAAGCATATTTCCTTTTTTTTTAATTTTTAATCGGTTTCCACTGTTCAGACTGCAGGCCGTTAAGAGGGTTGGAAAAACCAGGGTAATAGAAGAGTTATAAAAGTTATAACAAGCCCGATTAGATGTTATGATACGGTAACGACACCTATGTGTTGCGATAAAACTTCGTAAATTACTTTTCAACTTTTTCTTTCAAAGTTTTTCTGTTTACAATCACCTAATGTATCTATAATATATCTTTTGTAGCACGAGCACTTGTGTTTTCATAGACTCATTCAAGTTAATAGCAAAATTTACTTCTTAGCTAAAATGAAAACTAAACACCAATTATGTCTTCAAATACATTGCACTCTATACTAACAAAAATCACATTTGTGCATAACCGAGGTTCAAACCCCCGACGTCACGGTAATTGGGGTCCATGTACCATTAGACATGTGATCATATACTCAACATATGAATGTCTAACATATATTAAAAGTATTTACAGGTCCCCCTTCAAACATTGTTGCAAACTGCCGGAGATAATTACGTCACCCTCAAACTTTGATTGTTTCCGTGTTAATTAAATTAAATTTGCCCTGAATATTTTATATAGTTCTTATACACTCAACCTATGAGGATGACATTTAAAGTGTCAAACCATGTTAAAACGAGTCAATCTGAGATATTAAAAATCCACTTTAGGTTTAAAAATATTTACGATACGGGCGAGACTTAAACTTGCAACCAATGCGTTTAGTGCTCTAACCAATTGAGCTACTGTGTTAACACAATGGTGTCGTATTTTTTTTCAATCTTTTCAAATACCATCATGTGCAATAATATGTTAAGAATTTACTTTTAACCTATGTACTTCACGTTTGAAACCGTTGAAAATGTTTTATTCTATACGGTAACAAATGCTTACTATTATAATGTTTGTAATATTAACTGTGAAGCTAACATCCATTCATTTGTTTCATTGCATAGTAGAAAATATCTTTGTATTTTCTATTTTTATTCAATTCAATTTTAAATGTGCAATTTTATGAAATATCCAATATATGTTCCCGTATATTGGAGTAAAAAAGTGAAGTTCAAAGTGAAATATCTTTTTCTCTATATGGGTAGGGGGCACGCCTTGCTACTTCTCTATTGATCGATTATTTAAACGCAAACTGTTATTGATTAGAGTTCTGCATTGCCGGATCCAAAATCCGGATCCGAGTCTGATTATGCTCATTGCAAGGCAAGCAACATTTTTACCCTAGGTTTGCCAAGATAGAAGAAGACAGACACAGGCTCCACTTGATAGCAGATGACATACCCCAACCATCTCAACAAGATGCGCTCTCGACCTGTTTTGGCTTTCGATATTCTGAGAAAGACTGACACCGAAACGCGCTTTAACTTGACGGCTTTTTCACTTGGGGACGGTGGTTCGTTACTTCGGAATTTTCGGAATATTGATTAAAAAAATTTTTGACCCTCAGGGAATGGAATCTTGATTATTAGCCGTACATTGCTACCATTGTGTAGTAACAAGTCCGTTTAAAGTTTAAACATGTAAGTAGTAATGTTCTGGTTACCGAAACACAACAGCATTTTACATTCAGCGAATATGGTAACGCCATGCTTGCCAGGTTCAACGTTCCATTGATTTTTGTACTCGTTAAAATGCATGGCATTCCCACTACTGTAGTAAAAATCGATGACGATGGAACAGGAGTAAAAAATTGTTGAGCACCAAACCTTTATGCCTCTCATTAACATACGATAGGAGTTTTTTATTTGGGACAAGTTTTTAATAAACTACTTGTTGTAAAGATACAGGTGTAATTCAACAGAGTATATATATACGCTATTTCAGTGATAAATTTCAATATTTTCTCTAGAACTTAGTATTATACACACATAATACATATAGAAAATAGTACATATAGAAAGAGCTAATAAAAACAATATTCTAAATAAATCCTATTGCAATGGATTTATTTAGAATATTTTTTATTTTATTCCGACATTAAAATTAAATTAAAAAGACCACAGCAACTTCTTCAGATTTCCACCATTGGAATTGGGTGACAGGCAATTTATTTATTATTACTGTAGATTGCAAAACTGATGACGACGGCGGGATTTGAACCCACTATACAATCAATATTTGATAGCAGAAGTTATATCCTCCTTACTCTTAGTTAAATAACTACTTCTTGTCTCACTATAAAGTAATTACACAAATTAAACAGTTGCAAAGTTTAAAACGCGAAAAATAATTTATAATAATATTTATTATCGTGTAGGTAATCGGTCACCGTGGTTGCTGTAAAGCATCCGAACCGTCGGACCCTAGTCTGATTAAATTAAGAAATAAGTTAACTATTATAGCCAGCGTTTTATTCAAATGTGTACTACAGGCGTAAAGTAGAGACAATGTTTATACTATACAATGCTAAAACAGACATTCATATTATTAATTAACAAAGCTTTAGGGGGTACAAACATTAGGCTGACGTTTTCTTGAGGTTTAATATAAATGCTAATAGATAACGTTTCACCTTCAACATTACACAACTTTAGGTACTTTTGTAATGTCGCAGTTTCATGAGAACTACGCTAACGACTTCACATCTAAACGATAATTACACGACCAAAGCCGAAAGGAAAGAAAACTATTTGTCTACCAATGTATGTTAAAATACGTTTTATTTTGTTAATACTTTTAACGAATTAAAACGTTAAATTATACTTAACTTGAATTAAACTCAGTTTTTATTAGGTTTCATTACTATTCTCATTGGATTCACTTAATAACTTATAGTTAACAAAAAAACTTAAAATGGCATGTATATGTTTTATAACATAGCTTAATTAATAATTATCTAAAGTTATTTGTCGTGCCAACAAACTGTTCACTTGCCACATTTGCAAAATTTCATTAAAATCGGTCGAGGAGATGACACACAATATTTTTTTTCCAATTAAAAAACAACATTTAATTATAGCTAGAGACACCATCTATAGTATACTCGTAGCACATCAAAGGTGTGGTAAACATCTTTTACTCTTTGTAAGTACTTCGTATTAAAAAAAATATATTAGAGTATTAAAACCCGATATTTATAGATTTATTCTTATTTAAATAAATGCCTAGATTACCTATATAACTATGGGTGGTTAAAATAGTGTCAGAAATCAATAGAGAAATGTCTAACTACTTATAAGAATAGATCTAAGTATAACAGTACCAGAAGAAACCCCCAAAATAAATATTAATATGTCACGAGGTACAGATTAAGCATGCTTAATATATAGTAGATGGGCCCATCCTATTGAAGGACTGTGGCTATTCAAGTAGAATGCTACAATGAAATCGGGTCAGTCAATCAACAATACGAATTACGGACAGCCATTGTGGGCACATCTACCTGAAATTCTATATCCATTACGACATCCTCGTTGGTCCAGTTAATCCATTGCTAATTACCAGCGTAATTTGACTAGGACAAGCATGTTTGTAAACCAATTTCTGATCTTTCAGAAGAAACTCATCTAAGTGACTTTAGATCGTCAAGAGTTAAGCCTTCAAATCTTGAATGAAACACTTTGAATACTGTCTATAGTTTACGCGAGTAAGACACATTTAAATACGACACTTTAACGGTTTAAAACGCGATATATTAGTTAAACTTATTTAAAATGATTTTTAACTTCGGCCAGAAGTTTCGGATGCTTTGCACCAGCCGTGGTCACGGTGAGACACCCCGTGTCTCATTTTCAAATAAGTTTAACTAATATATCGAGTTTTAAACCGTCAACGTGGTTTATTTAAATGAAAAACTTTAATACGGTCAGTTTCTGGTAGGTAGCAATTAACAGCTAATAATCGTATCGTGGGTTCGATCCCTACAAGGTCCAATATGGTTCTACTAAATTATAATTTTTTGAAACATGTTGCATCTTGCCTAGAAATCTGGATCTAAAACGGGTAGGAATATCCATATTTAGTCCGGGTCACGAACCGCTACCACAGATGAAGCTGTGAATTTAATTTTTATTTCAGTCTGTGTAGTGCCGAATATCTGGCTGGGATATTTCACCTACCATCAAGTCCCCATGCACGTTATTCATCTTTAACCGTCACGATCACCTCTGATGACATCAATATTAATTTAACGAATTAGAATAAAATTATTAAACTCGTTGTACCAAGGAATCATAGATAATTTATTATCTATTATAGAGATATCACAGACTATGTATGTAATTATAGCAAAGAACAATTATTGAAAGGCGGGAAATTTCATAATTAGAACAACAACTTCTAATTTAGTAGCGGTAGTAAAGCCTGCCAAGCCGAGCTAGAGCAGCGTGGTCTAAGATCTTCAACTTCTTCTATGGACGAGATTTGTTCCTAGCAGAAGAACGTAATAAGGTAAACAATATGTACAAAGCCAGTAATAATTCGCGTTCCGTTTTTCAGAGTTATAGGTCCTGTTTATGTTTATTCATCCTCTGCTGTCATAAAATAATAAAACGAATCACGTTATTGAGAAATGACGCTAATGTAATTCCTACACCTTTTGTGCGGACCATTCTGGAAAAATATAATGCCTTCCTCCGCAGCACAATACCATAAATATTAATATACATTACACAATATTATTACATTTCAAAGGAAACCGTAGATTCACTCACTCCTATTAAATGTTTGGTTCCTTTTACGGTTATTGTTAAAACTAATTTTTGATTTATTTTGCAGTATATTGCTGTTGTGCCAACGGCTGAATGCTATTTCATTAAAAAATAAATAAAGTATAATGTAAAAATATATTTGTGCTAATATATTGTAAAAATTAAATATTCTTATAAAAACCACATTACGACCCGTGACCACAGTTGAATTAAAACAACTATCTCTAAACCTCTATAGTAAAATAATTCCCTCTCTTTAAACCGTTAACAATGTTATATTCTTTTATCACTTAAATTTGCATTTTTTCGAGTATATCAAATATAAAATTAAAAGGTTTAAAATATAGTTTCTAAGTTTAGGTCTTGACTCATTTTAAGACCGAAAATTTGCAAACAAATGCTTTCGCATATTTGTTATTTATTTTATTTTACAAAGATAACTATTTTCTGTGGTAATAGATAACCAAGATATCTGTCATTCGTATTGACCATAGTTAAAGATTGTCTATGGTTTGTTATTTACTCTATGATATTTGCGAGGAATTCGGATATTACTACAAAGCTTTACTAAAGATTATGTTATTATGGAGTTAAGATGGGAATGCTTTGAGGAACGATAACTTTAATATACAAGATTTATCTTCTATGATACATTACAAAATAGTATTTTCATAGTGGTTTTAACACATAGACCCTGTAATTAATTCACGTTCGCATCTATTTTGATTGTTTAAAATTAGCATTACAAAGTGTATGGGCTTCTGATATCGACTGTTACATAAGGATAGGAAAACATATTAATGAAAGTTGGTATGTATTGTTAGTAATCAAAATAATAACTATAACGAAGTAGACTAACTCACGTGACGTTTATACGTTAATGTTTCTTATTATGTTGTTAATATTCATTAAATACCGTCTTTAATTTACGCTAGCAGTAAACGTTTAAATAAAACAATTTTAACGGTTTTAAACGCGAATTTTTTAGTTAAACATATTAACTACGAAAATTTTATGAGTTAGTTGGTTAGTATATTTAGCTAATGTTATAATTTGATTTTTTTACAATACAAGGCAAATATTTACTTGTAAAACTTTAACATGTATTTTACTAACCTTAAATAATTTTAGATATATAACTAATACATTTTGCGTTTATACAGATAAAAGTGTTTTAGTTAAATAAAATATTACTAGCCTATGTAAAATGTATGTAATAATTCGATCATCCTATGTAAAACACTTAATAATTCAAAGTTTCACCTAAGTTCTTCTCAGCCTAAACGCCAATTATGGCACAGCAAACACCGACCCAATTAAATTGTAATTAAAAAATCATTTGTCGTGGTAACCACATCGCAGGACTCCAGGCCAGAATATTTTATTTACATTTTAATTAACGAATAATCTACATTTCACGTCTATTGCGCGTTTATTTTCTCAGCTGGGTTTTGCTAAGCCTTCAATTTTTAGTGTGTTATAAAAATGTGGTAATTGTTTTTTGGTAACAATTCCCACCGCCGGGACTCAGCCCACATATACTTTAACTGCCACGGTCGCGCGTTGGCAGAAATGCAGCTGATTTACCTGACAATGTACACCTTGATATATCCAGTTTACTACTGTACTACCACTAGTATTAGACGTGTGTTTGAACTCACAACCTGACAAATAATAGTCACAAGACAAAAGGAACCTGCCCAAAAGGCTTCTTACATGTAGAACGGATTTCTGTGTTCTGTCCGTCCGAACGTATCGTATCCCTAGGATTCGAAGCCGGGATCTGTCGTGATTAACGTAAGCTAAATACTGTCTATAGTTTACGCGAGTAGTACACATTTAAATAAAACACTTTAACGGTTTAAAACGCGATATATTAGTTAAACTTATTTGAAAATGATTTTTAACTTCGGCCCGACGTTTCGGTTGCTTTGCAGCAGCTGTGGTCACGGGGGGACTAAAGATGGAGGATGTCGCTGACGTCAAAGTAAAAAATTGCTACGCTAGCGCCATCTGTTCCGTCGAAGTTGGTATTTGGCGAAACTGGCCGGGTCCTTGCAGAATTTACTAACGGTGTCTTCGCGTTTGCCGGTATGCTGTTTATTGGGATCCAGAGTTTTTAACGTAAGCTAGACAGAGCGTTAAAGCTACATAGGCCGTCCCCAAACCTTAACAGAGTTTTTAATTTCTTGCCATAGAAATAATTCTACGGGCCCGTTGACCTAATAGTAACGATGTATGGCTAATAATCTGATCGTGGGATCTATCCGTACCGGGTCCAACATGATTCTAATAAATTTTAAATTTGTTTTTTTTTTAATCTGGATGTTAAATGGGCAGCAGAAATATGGAGCCGTGAAGTTTAATTACGTAGCCAATATAAGTCGACAGCACATATTGTTGAAATGTTATATGGCTGGGGGATTTTAAACTTTATGCTTGTCTGCCCTCCTCTATCATAAAAAAATATTACGTGTCGTATCTAAGGGTAACATATAATCACTTCCCCAATTAAAATTAGTTATCATAATCCCAGCTATTCCTTCCCCCTAATACTGCCTACGTGACACATATCCGATATGGGAACTGACGCACGCTCCATCATTTTTATATACTTACTCTTCTTTATGCATATTGGGCGTTTAGAGTTCAAAATCCATACTCAAAGTACTGAAGACATACCGTTCTGCCTCGTAATGATTTGAACGCGCTAATCTCAGAAACTACTGGTTCGAATTAAAAACGTCTATTGTGTTGGTTAGAGCATTTATCTACGAAGGCTTTAAGCTATAAAACACCACGTTGTAACCCATGAGAGCAAAGAAACTGTGAAAAAACAGGGAAAATCATTCAGCTTTAAGGGTTTCCGAGCAAGAAAATTATGTATAACAGAACGATTGATTCGTAGTTTAATGATCTAAAAAAAAATAAGCAACAGTATATTATATAGTTTTAAGATAAAATATTGTTTTTTGTTCTATTATTTTAAAATTTAAAAATCAGTTAGATTTAAGGCATAATCTTTTATTCTCAAGCCTATCGTTCACGGGTAGCCTAAAATGAACATTCAACGTAAGTTAAAATTTTCTAAAACCCGTTCACCTACTTTGCATTAAGCTTTTCACGTTGACCTGGTAAGTGCTAAGACGTGAGGATGATCATGTTAAAAAGCTTAAGTATAACTTAAAGGATCCCGTATGTCATGTATGTCCGTATGAGGTTTTTATTGTGGGGTTTAAGTCGGTTTAAGTCCGACATAACCTATTTGCTCCTTCTGGTGCGGTGGGTATCCAAAAGGATTTCCCCACGTTAAAAAAAATCCCATATGTCTCTCTTACGGCAAGTTAAATTAAGTTATTTTATTAAGCCCATCGGCATATTATGTTTAAACATTATTATTATTTTACACGCTGTTTGCACAAGATAACTTATACAAGTTTAAAATTCGATATTTAAAATTTATGATGACGTTCTGGACACGATAGCTCAGTTGACACAAACCGCTAGTCGGGGTTCATTGCCCGCCTGTGTCCAGTGGCGAAACTATAGAGTGGCAAGTCGGCAAAATGCCACGGGCCCCCAGCCCGAAGGGGCCCCCGGTCAGAGGAAATCTCAATTGTTGGTTCAGCTTCTTAATATATTGGGGAAGTGGGAGGGCCCATTCGATTAATTTGCCACGGGCCTCGAACGGTATAGTTACGCCACTGCCTGTGTCACTATTTTTTACTATCTAAGATAAACTTAATAACAACATAAAATTGTGTCTCACGTTACCAAAAACTGTTCAACTTCAATCTTATATTAAAAGTAGGTACAATATTGACTCACATAAAATGTTTATCATTTTGCAACATCTTCATTAAAGAAGCAAATATTCCCATAGTAAATAAACTGAGCGTTTGATAAAATTTCGTCGAGCTGGAAGTAATCTAGATACGTAAGGTAGGCGCACTTTACAACCCTCCATATCTTCAAATTATAGCTTAAATTAATAAAAATCTATAGATTTCTATGATCTGTTCTAGCTGTTCGATTTTCGCTTAATATCAGACGTTAATCTTAGTAGACATATATACTAGCTGCGTTAGCGACTTCGTCCGCGTTTACTAGTTAATCTTAAAACTCATATTCATATAGTGTCCAGGACTATTGAGATCATTTAATATTCCCGCTGTTTCTTTGCTTCCATTATTCGCAGTTACATGTCTTATGGACTTATAGCCTTCATCGATAAATGCTCTAACCAATACAAACATTTTTTCAATTCAAACCAGTAGTTCTTGAGAAAAGCGCGTTCAAACAAACTCTTCAGCTTTATATATTAAAGTATAGATACTGTTTAATCTTTAAATTACAACAAAAGATATAATTTATGCAAACGGATTAATTAAAACATCATACGCGTAATTGTAGATCACGTTGTCAAGGGTTCCAGG